TTAATAGCAAACATGTTAATTAGTTACGGGTAAGATATTTTAGATACATAAAAATATTTTATTTATAACGTAAATATTGAACTGTCTGAGATATTAAATGAACCTTTTAGTCATCCTATTTATCACATATCACCGCCTCTCATAGACCACTTATTTTAATGTGAATAAATTCCACTTATAGGCCTATTAGGACCATTTTAGCCAAACTTATCATGGATTTCATGAGTCCAACCTCCGCTTTTTTATTGGCTTATCTGAGACGGGCTGGAAGAGTAGGTCGGAACATTGCCCCAATTTCGACAGGACGAGGAGCTTATTACTACATATATTTTACACTAATTCAGGTACTAAAACCCATGCTATATCTTCTAAACACTTGTCCTCGGCAAATCACGTGCAGCTAATCCTTTATATCTTAGATCACTAGATATCATTACCTGCTATTTCGATTACTCGAAAGGATAGACAAAGAATTCTGTATTCGCCAGGCTACATACTTCTTAGAAATTAGGAATGTTTAGCATGCCTTCAACGATAACAATTCTGTTATGCAGGTTTAATTATAAAAAATCGTCTTTTGCTTGATCTACACATGGCTAATTTGTTCCCTTCATCATTGCTTTTTAATATTTTTAGCATCTTTTTTACAACCTTTGTGCTTGTCTCTTACCTTTATTTTTTATTTAGATAATGCCTCCATAGGGGAGCCTTTGCCTCTTAGAACAGGACCTGTTGAAATGGATGTCTGGCGTCAGCATCAGCTAGAACAACGGCGCGCATTTCTGGCGGCAGCCACGATATGCGGCGATTCTGCAGTAAATGCCATAGATCGAAAAATCACGAGGTCATTGTCTAGCCACAGGTTCTTCCTTGAATCTGATTCTATAGACAATCAGATATCCGATCTTTCCTTTATGCCCAATACTACAGAGGAGTTTGAGCTGGCCGTCAAGAATCAGCCACATTGTGCAGCTTGGTGGATCGCTTTTATGCGTCACAAACTCTCGTCAGGCAAGATCCAGCAGGCTTCTTCCCTTTCTGGTATGTTCTCAGAATCAAGAGGCCGTTGTTTGGCCGAAGTGCGAACTGTAGCCGAGCGAGCGCTTCTTGCCTTGTCATCTATTGAAAACGTATCGGAACAGCCTCAAAGAAGAACAAAGAATTCAAGGTCAACAGCCAACGTCGGTAAAATGTATGTAAAATATTTTTGTTTTAAATTAATAATTCCCCAGAAAACTTATTTAAACGACTAACTCTTTCTCAATATCACTCTTCATTTTATCCAATTGATTTATCCTACTTATAGTTAAAATAATTATTGAAGTTGGTTGACCTCGTTGTCGCAACTTGGTCTTGTTGCTTGAGAGACTTAGTAGAACGCGCCTAGTCCTAAGTCCTCTACCATAGTAGTTATCATAAGTCCCAGCATGAGACAGTGGACTTGGTACATTTTCAAATGTTTCGCCGGCATCATCGATGAATGCTGCCAAGCTACGAACTCGTCAAAGAGTCAAGTGAAGTCAACCCCTCGATACACGTTCTGCCGAAAACGGTTACACTATCCTGGCCTATCTATATATTCTTTACCCTATTTTCCAACTCCCGCCCTATCACAACTTCTCACTTGTTTGCATTCCGCTCGTCAAAATGTGTGCCCTTTTATGGCATTTTTAGTGTGGCCTCATCACACTTGCTATTCACCCCGACCCGCTCTCTTTCGATCGTCTAATCCGACTCGGGCCTCCAATCCGGATCCCTTTATTGTCTCGTAGACCCGTTCCTTCTCTTTCTGTTTGACAGATTTCACTTGGTTCCAGTCACTGTGTGCATTTAGCTCCAGACGCCATTTCTTAAGGCCCTAGAAGCACGTACACTGCCGCCTCACTAAGTAGAGCGTCTAGGCTCTGATTCCCATGCTTGCAAATATCAGGCCTTCCCTTCACGAGTCGTCTCCTTGATTAAATACGTGTTACCTGAGCAAACTATGGACGCCTATCTCTGGTCGCATGCTCAATCTCAAGTGGATTTATAGTACATTTTAGCCATAACGTCGAATTTTGAGACGGTTTGGTTATCCGTCCGCCTAGCTCTCTGACTGCCAGGCCCCCATATTAGTACTGGTTTTTTCGAAATGGACATCACTCACTGACAATATCTTCGCTTGATTGCTGAAACTCCCAACCCCCACTTTCCTTACTACGATCTCTTTTCCTCTTGTTAGCAATAGATCCCTGATCCATGCGTCTCCTTTTTGCTGGTCTTGTTGTTTTCCCCGAGTTTGCTTGAACAGTAGGCAAGGTTATCGCTAGCTTTACCTTCCTCCAATCTCTTGTTTATCAGATTTTTCTCCCCTATTATGTCAATGGCCTCCCTAATCTTCAGCTTGTATTTTTACCGTATGAGGTCCTTCTTTCTGTTGCCTACCCATTGACCTTGTGTCTAGTCTGTGCGATGTGTTCCGTTCACTGATCTTTCGGTATCCATTTTCCGGCAAAGCCTTTGATGTTCATTGATTCGTATGCTAATTATTCTCCCTGTTTCGCCAATATATTTCTGTTCGTAGGCGCCGCATGATATACAGTAAACTCCTGAACAATCCAATTTGTCTACCCTTTCATGTTGCGTCGGTAGACTTGTGAAAAGTGTTGATTTTTATTTCATGATCACCTGCATATTCCATTTCCTCAATATTGGCCGTAGTTTTTGATTTAGTTCGCATGAAGGTTGGTATATCCACTTTTGTGAATCCTCCGTCCTTACTGTTCTTTCATATTCCCCATTCTGCCATCGGCCTTTCACGGCCCGTATGTTTCTTGGTATTACTTCACTTGGGTAGCCATTGCCGAGCAATATCTTAGTCAATTTGTCCAAATCCTCGTCCCAGAATTCTACATCCGTTAAGCGTAGGCTTCGAATGATCATGCTCCTCATTATTCCTATCTTTATCCTGTAATTGTAATGGGAAGGGAAATTATTTATTATTCCATCATAAGACTTCTCTCTCAACAATTTCCTTTTGAGCGTCCCATTAGAGCGAATCACTTCAACGTCCAGGAACGGTAACCGCTCACCTTCCTCTACTTCCATCGTGAATTGAATTTTTTCATCAATCTGGTTTACAAACTTCAGAAACTATTCAAGTTTTCTCTTTCGTGTGACCAAAGTGCGAAGTAATCATCCAGGTTTCGCATGAGCCCTGCCGGTTGTATCGGTGCCATCTTAAAGTTCTTTTCTATTTTCTTCATGTATACGTTTGCCAAAAGTGGTGAGAGCGGCGATCCCATGGGAAGTCCAAATATTTGTTCATAGTTGTTCCCGTTGAATGTGAAATAGGTTGTCCTTATTGTCAAGTTGATTAGTCTTGTTAACAACTCCCTACCGATCCCTTGTGATTCCAGGATGTCCTCCTTTGGTTCAGAATTTCTAGCAGAGCCGTTAGCGCATTTTTTCCAGAGATATTTGTATACATGGATTCCACATCAAAACTTACCAATAAGTCTGTTTCTTCCAGTGCCATGTTTTTGATTTTTTGAGAAAATTCATATGAATGTTTACTCTGTTTGATAGCCTCTCATTTGATTTCTTGATTTTTAAATATATAAACTTGCTCCATATTTCTTGTTGACTATCAGCCTTAGTGGCTCGCCTTCTTTGTGTATCTTCGGTATTCCGTAGGCTGTTGGTGGTCGTGCATCCTTTTTATGATTGAATTTCTTGTCCATGACTTAATTTTCCTGTTCCTATGCATATCTTTCAGCATGTCATTTAAGATTCCATTGATCTTCATAGTTGGGTCCTTGTTTATTATACGATATGTGCTCCTGTCTCGTAGAATATGTTCCATCTTTTCGGTATAATGATTTTTGTACATTATTACTGTAGCTCCTTTGTCCGCCTGAAGGACAATTGTTCATTCGTTTCCAGAGTTTTGCGTATCCTGGAAAATATTTTTTCGCTTGTTATGTCAAGATCTTTGGAATTAGTTCCATCTCCATTTCCCGTTTTAACTCCTCAGGGAACTTGTCGGAGATATTGATAAACTCCATCAGGATGAAATATCGAGTCTTTTTGGCATGAACGCGGTTGTTTAGGGATTGAGAGAAATTAATGACAAGTTAAATACTTTCTTCCGATCGCTGGGCTGAGCAGTAGGTGTTGTCACCTCGGGAGCCACTTCAGCTGGGTGTACTGGCTTTAACTTAAGCTGTCTTATAATCCCAAATTTACGCAATTTATAGAAGTTGTTTGACCTTTTTTTTGCAACTTGGTCATATAGGTAGGACGACTTAGAGAAACGCATCTAGTCCGGAGTCCATTTTATGCATGATAATTTCCAAAGTCGGATCGTGGACGTGGTACATTCCCAGACCTTTCACTGGCATCGTATTCGGCATAGTCAGTGAGCCTTGTTATTCTTAACACCAGACTACACCTCATCAAATTGACAAGTGAAGCCGATCCTTTGACCAAACGTGTGCTAAACAGTTGTGGTATCTCTCCTGCCCTGAGCTGTTCACATTTCCTATATCCTCGTATCACGCCTTCACTGTCTATTTAAATCTAGTGTGGGGTGTCTTTTTGAGTGGGTTTCATGAGAACCCTCCACACACAGCGCTGGCGTTTTCACTCCCCTTCACTCTTGTGCTGGGAATATTGATCAGTCTGCCATATTGTTACGCCGTCCTCCTTGTCTTGGCCTTATCAGAGTCTCCCTCTTGACATGTAGGATCCGTCTGCTATCTCCCTGGTTCAAGTATTTCACTCGACCCCTGCCTACCCAATTTGTGCTACTCAAAGCGTTATTATCCATCTCCTCCGTCTGGGTGAATAATTCGAGGCTAAAGCATCTGAGTAAGTGTCATGGTCACGCCTTTGCAACATGGACCACGTCTATGGTAAAACAAGCCTACTATCAGCCAAATAACTCTAGTATCCGCCTCGCCTATCCTCTTTCTATCCGTTATACCAAGTCTATGACTTCCGGTGCCCTAGTCTCTTTTGTGCCAACCTACAAATGTTTTAGTAGGTTGTGGTCCAACATTGAATCTAATCAAAACAAGCAGTACCACAACATTTGTGGGTTGGCACACAAGAGACTATGGCACAGGAAGTCATGGACTTGGTATTACGGATAGAAACAGGATAGACGTGACGGAAACCAGAGTTAGTTGGCTGACAGTAAGCCTGTTTTACCATATATGTAGTCCATATAGCAAAGGTTCTACCATTAGAATTACTTAGAGGTTATAGACTCGAATTAGTCACTTAGACGCAGGGGATGGGTAATAGCGCCTCGTGGAGCACAGATGAGGTGGCAGGCATCGAGTGAAATATTCGAACGAGGAAGATAGCAGACAGATCCTACGGGGCAAGAGGGAGACTGTGATAACACCTATGGAAGGAGGACTGCCAAACAATATAGCAGACTCTGGTCAACATTCCGGGCACAAGGGTGAAGGAGGGGTGAGAACGCCAGTGTGGAGTGTGGACGGTTTACATGAATGTCGCTCAAAAGGGCAAACCACACTAGATTTAAATAAGCATGGAAAAATGGTAACAGTGAAGGCGTGATACGAGGATATAGGAAATGTGAATAGCCCAGGGCAGAAGGATAGATCTAACAACTGTTTAGTCTCTTTGACGAGTCGTTGTGAGGTTCTAGGAATGGCGAGACTTACTGACGATGCCAGCGAAACGTCTGGAAATGTACCAAGTACACGGTCTGATTTTGGAAATGATCATGCATACACTGAACTCCAGACTAGGTGCGTTCCTCTAAGTCTTCCTACCAATATGACCAAGTTGCGAGAACAAGGTCAAACAACTTCTATACAACGACCGGAACACATCAAATACTAAGGAATGATCCAACCTTCAAGATCAACGAAGGAAATGCATAATAATATCGAAATTGATAGATCGATGGTGAAATCTGTAATCAAAAATGATGTAAGACCACCGACCACAGACTATTGAACATACACCAGGAAGGAAATCCGCTAAGATTAAGAGTTAACAACAAGCATGGAGCTATACATAACTAGCGAAATTCATTTGCTTGAAGCTTAAGAAAATAAATGACAGACTCTCGAAACCCGTTAAGAATTAATATGAATTTTTTAAAGGATCAAGAGCATTGGGCTGGTACGGACGGAGTTGTTGGTGAGTTTGGATATACAATCCATGTATACAAACATCTCAGGTGAGAAGACGATAAGCGCCTTGCTGGATATATTGGAGCGAGAAGAGGATATCCTGGGGGCAGAACGAATACAGAAGGAATCGTTAACACGATTGATCAACCTGGCAGTAAGGACCACATATTTTACATTTAACGGTACTATCTACGAGCAAATATTTGGACTAATGATAAGATCTCCACTCTCACCTCTTTTGGTAAATGTGTACATAGACAAGTTGGAAAGGGAATTAGAAAAGTCACCACTGCAACCAAGAATGTTTTTGCGATACTTGGATGACTACTTTGCACTTTGATCAGATGGTAATGAAAATTTAAATGAATTCCCCAATTGCATTAACCAACTTGATGAAAGAATAAAATTTATTAGGGAGGTGGAGGACGATGAACGATTTCCCTTTCTAGATATTGAAGTCATGAACTCCGACAGGAGACTAGTGAGGAGACTAGACAAAAAGCATTCATATGCGGGAATAATCCAGAAGTGGATTTGCCTGCCCTCATTAGAAATGAGCCATCAATTGCGACCGTTACGTGGAAATGGAATATCAAGGTGATAACAAAGGAGAAGAAAACACTTTTCACCAGTCTACCGACG